GGATGCGCGTGAAGAGGGGCAGAAAGGAGATTTGATGAAAGAACCTAAAGAAGGGGAAGGTGTTTCTCGTGATAGTGAGTTGGGGTCTTCGCGTGTTCGTTCTTCCACTGCTGCTGAGGTACAAGTTGCTGGTCTGGGTTCCAACCCGGTGGGGTCAAAAACTCCTGATCAGTTAAAAGAAAATCAGCAAGTGGAGCAACTCGAGAAACAAATAACTGGGAATCAGAACCCAGCGGGAAAAGGAGAAATCACCACCTCATCTCATACTTCAGGGATAAATGGTCAGGGTGATCCTAGACCCCTTGACGCATCCCCTCCTGCAGAGTCAGGTAGAGGATCAGTCGGAAGAGATGGACATAATGGAAAGACCCCAACAGTCTCTGAAGAAGAATCACTAAAAAGCGATCGTGCTGCTCAACAAGAAACGCAATTGGGTGGACAACCACAGGATGGCACAAATACGCAAGTTACACCAAATGAAGAGACCCCAGCCACTAAAGTATCAGGTACTACTGATGGGAATCAGATTTCTGATAATGCACCTCAGAATACCCCTGAGACTTCTTTAAACGATTTAGCCACTCCGAATGCTGCTGAATCTGGAGCTCAACAAAATGAATCAACAAGTACCCAAAGCGGTAATGTGGGAAGTACAGAATCAACCACTACTACGACCACCACCACCACAACAACAACAACAACACTTCCTCCTGAGTCTGCAAACAGCAAGAAGAATGGTGATGCAGACAGCAGCAGTATCAGCAGTTCTGTGTGGGTGCGTGTACCACTACTGATTGTGGTTGCACTGGCCTGTATTCTTGTGTGCCGATTGTGATAATGGTGGTGTGGTGTGACTCAGGTCATCCATTGTTTTCTTTTCTTTTTGGTTGCATCCCTACAGTCTAACTAATCTTTCACCTGTTAAGATTATCTTCTTTTTTTGTTTCTTCATGTTAATGTGTTTTGTGTGTTTTTGCTCTCTGTGTGTTTATCCTATAATTATTATTGCTACTCCATTGTGTGTGTGTGTGTTCTTGTAGACTATCTGTGTGTGTGTGCACCTGGGCTTGCACTGTAATGATGAACTGTTTTTTTCAGTGGGAAAAAGGGAAAGAAATAATAATAACTGATGCATATATATTTATAATTGCGTATATACACACATGTAGACTTACACCCATAGTTGTTGTATATTTCTGTGTTTACTGGGTAAATTGGGCTAATGGTTAATATCTGTTTTTTTGCTTATGGTTTGTTGGGACATTCTATGCTGTACTGAGGAAGTCTGTGATGATATGGATGTCCTTTAGTTTCTAGTTTTATTGATTTTATTTTCTTTATTGCTTTGTTTTTGTTTTTTTCTGGTTTGTACTATGTTGAGCTTCGTTTGTGCTTCTCTACTTGTATATACTTCTGGTTTTTGGTATTATGAGCATTTTGTTAATCTCTCATATTTTTTTTTCTTTGTAGTAGAGTGTTTTTAGGGGAAACCCACTACCACTATTATGGCT